CACCCCTGAGCCCTGAGGCTCCCAGCCGCCTCTGCAGCTGGGAGCTCAGGGGGTGATTTAAACGCCCCGACTCTTCCGGTTGAGGCCACGCCCCCTGCACAGGACTCCAGAGTACCAGTAAGTCCTTTAAGTTACTTTCACCCCTGAGCGGGACCCAGTCTTCAGTATTAGCCCTGCGTGGCAGGGCTCAGATTAGAGGTCCCCCTGCTGGGGCTAAAGCCCTTGAGCTTCGGCTTTTCCCCCTCCCATACCCTGACCGAGGTGGCAGGGCCCCAGCTTTGGTCCCCGCTCCTGGGATCGTGAAGTAATTTTTGTTGTCAGAAGGGGGTCACAGTGCAATGAAGTTTGAGAACCCCTGACCTAGACCTTCCCAGTGCCCCTGTGTCCTCAGTGTCTGTCTCCCACAGCCCCATGTTAGGTGGGGTGAGGGTGCAGGACTGACAGATGGAGCATGAACCAAGGCAGAGCCTTGGAATGGGAGTTGTGTTTGCAGCCCAGACACCAGGGTGATGGAAGCCCGGGACACACACATCAGCTTTCCATTCACTACAGATGGTATAAACTTTTATACAGGGTAAACTCATGTTGTTCGCCCTCTTTCTCAAAGTAAAGAGAGAGATGCACAGCTGCTTGCCCCTCCCCCCCAGGTAACAATTATCTACACTGGGTTTATTAACAAACAAAAGTGATTTTATTTAGTATAAAAGGTAGGATTTAAGTGGTCATAAGAGATAGGAGCCAGAACAAAGCAGGTTACTAAGCAGAAATAAGCAGAACATGCAAACTAAACTAGATTCACTAAAAACTGGTTACAAATAATAAGTTCTCCCCTAGATGTGGTTCTAATAATCTTTGCGCAGACTGGACGCCTTTCCAGCCTGGGTCCAGCCCTTCCTCCTGTTCAGCCGTAGACGTTTCCAGCAGTCATCTTGGGTGGGGTCCCCAGGGAGAACTGGCCACCTGGATTATCTCACTCCTCACCCTTAAATAGGATTGGCATCAGGCGGGAGTCCACTGTTTCAATTTGACCCCTTCCCAGCTCCTCATGGAAAAGTACGTAGTTTAAGATGGATTCCAGTATCAGGTGACATGGTCACATGTCTCTGCAAGACCCCTGATAGCCCCTTCCCATGGGATTACAGGAAAAACAAGTCCTTTTACAGTTCATTGGCAAGAAAACAATGGGCCATCAAGATCCTGAAGTACCTTTAATGGCCCTCACTTAGCATGACTACATTGATTCCTCCTGTCTTCAACACTGGGCT